ACTCCAGAAGGAGGTGACCCTCTTCTAACTCACTGCTCGGAGGTATCTGGACACCTACTTGAGCAACACTCAGTGTTTAAGGGTAGAGCGGGGACAGGAACACACACTATGTTCTCTGTGCCTCAGAAATGAAGAGGTTTTTTTGTTTGTTTGTTTGTTTGTTTTAAGGGGCCAAAATCACCAATAAGCTAGAACAATGAAGCACTCTGAAGTTGAAAAATGCTTTGCTCAATGTTAATAATATTTTGGCAGTGACAGTTTTGAAGATCTATCACAGCTATTCTTTTCAGAAAAAGTAATAGCTCCTTTGAGGAAAAATTATATTCTCAACATTAGAAGGCTTTGATAAAATAAATCCTGATTAAAGAAGCTACATTTCAACGTAATCACATATTCTGTGTCTATGAATACGCGAGGCACGGGGCTTGGCACTGACAGGGGACGGAGAAATAAAGAGTAATAGAATGTAATGGTGGTAAACACTGACTAAACAGTAGCTATTTGTGTGTGTGTGTGTGTGTGTGTGTGTGTACACACGCGCGTGTGCAGTGAGCAGCTTATTGAGAGGCGGAGCTAGAAGCTAGAAGGGGGAGGGGCTTATCCTACTGGGAATGAGAACTGAGAAGGTAGAACCCTGCTTAAGAGAACAGCAGGAAGAAGTCAGAAAGTAGACGAGCAAAGAGCGAGGGCACCAGAGTAACCTTTCCTAAATCTCTTCTAGCTCGGATTAGGATCTATTCTAGAGCATGAGGACGAATGGAGGCCATGGGGAAGGGAAGCACACAGACCCGGCTCTGCAAAAGGCAAGGAAGGAAAGCTGCTGGGAGTTGGGGAGACCCTGACAGAGGCAGGACTGGCAATCACCAGACTGTCCCTGAATCTAAGTAGAATTATCAAAATTCATATTCTTGTAATGCAACTCTCTGGCCCTGATGCCAACTGAGAGTCGAAGTATTTTGTATTGTTATTGCTATTATTAGAAGTCCCATGGAGTATCCTACATACATATATGTGCCGCCTAGGCAGGATGTGCTATTGACATGGAAGATGTTAAGCCCTCTTAGATGATAAAGGTGAAATTTTTTTCCCCACTAAGAAGCAAAAATAGTTACTTACGCTTCTGAAAATTTCAAATCAATAGTTAAATCATGACAGTGCAGAAATGCCTGAGAGCACAGTTAAAAGTGTATTAGGCATCCAGTCATTCCTAATTCTGTCGGTAGCTTTTTAGAAGGAGGGACACAGTATAAAGTTTCACATACTCCATATTTACACATATGGGGTACTTTCAAAGAAGAAGAAAAATAAAATTATAGTAAATGATGAAATTAGATCCCTATCTCAAACAACATATACACAAAAATAAAATTCATATTAAGTAAAGACTGGCAAAAACCACATTTTTAATGCTGAGTGGAAAATATAGGTTAATATCTTTTAGCTCTTCAGGCAAAGAAATATTTTCTTAAATGGGTGTAAAATGTAATAACTAGAGAAGTAAAGTTTGCAAAACATAATAAGAATGTCCATTCATCCAAATACCCCTCAAAGTGACAATTTACAAACTTGGAGAAAATACTTGCAATTCACACAACAGACAGATGGTTAGTATCAAAAAGAAACAAAGGATTCTTACCAACCAACAAAAACACACACACATACACACACAGGAGCAAGGGAGAGAAAGACAGTATTTCATAGAAAAGACACACACAGCTAATAAACACATGAAGAGGAGCTCAGTGTCATTAGAGAACCACAAAGTACAGAAACCACCATGAGACACCTTTTTACACCCATTTAGTTAGGAAAAATTAAAACCTCTGACACTACAAAACCTTGAAGATGATATGAATTCACAAAACCTATTATGCATCACATGTGGGAGTACTTATTAGCACAAAACCACTTTGCGAAAGAGGCTGGCGTGACCTCCTATAAGTGATCCGTTACATATCCTATGTTCCAGCAATTCCACTCGGAGGTGGATACCTAAAACAGTTTCTAACACATATACAACAGAAGACATAACACAGATGTGCATCAGTCCCTGTCCACGGGGGAGTAGATGAATGGAATTTTATATAGCAGCCCAAAAGAATGAACTCAAACAATATGGATGCATCTCATGAAAAAAGGAAGCACCAGAGAACTACATGCATGACACCATAACAGCATTCACACATGCTGCTGTTTTTATAAATTGAAAATAATTAGAGCAAAACTAAATGCTTCTACAAAAACATTTAAATATTAAAACTTTATAAAAAGGAAAACAAACGACTGATCAACTCAAGATTCAGAGTGATTGTCACCCCTAGATGACAATCACTAGTTATGGGGTTGAACTTCTGGTTTTGATGTTGGTTTCACCAGTGATTATTACATTATTAAAATAGCTAAGTAAATATATAAAAGCAGGATATGGACAAAATGAAAGAGCGTCACCAACCACGCATTATGACCATTCCAATTCTGTACACATGAGTTCCTTTAATAAAATGGAGAAATGCCCTTTGACAACAGACTTGGGTAAAATATCAAACTGAAGTCATTTTAGTCCAAACAATGACAAGCTGCACCCACTGACCTGACTGAGACTATTTATAGAAGGTTCTTTATTTGTTCTGACATTACTCATAAAAGAGAAATTGAAGACATCTTAAGGACCCATCACTAGAGGAATGGTTTAAAACATGAGGCTATGTTCACATGCTTTCACTAATTCATCTTATCAACACCTTGAGTAAGTGCCCATGATTTGTCAGACCCTGTGGGGTACAATGATGAGCTAGACTGATTCAGGCCCCGCTCCCATGAGGTTAACGCTGATGGGGAAGACAGGCAGTAATCAGAAGACCACACGTGTAAATGCACACTGAAAACAGAGGTAGGGTGTCAAGGGAAGGAGCACACAGTTATGAAAGAGGAAAAGGGAGAGAGACTAGCAGCATTTAGTGAGGCTTCCAGAGGACAGGGGGCATTTCATAGAGGCCTGAAACAAAAACCTGGGGGTAGTTACCCAGGCCAAAGGGAAGCAGGAGAAAGAGCCATCCAGGCCCAAAGAAGAGAGGTGGGCCCTGCAGCAGAAGGAGCTCACTCGGGCTGTCAGGGACATGAAAGACCAAGGTGGCCAGGCCCAGAGCAAGATGGACAGTGGAGTGAGATGGGGCTGGAAAGGCAGGCGAGCGACAGATCATGGACCAAAGAGCAACGGAGAGAAGGGATTGAAGGAGGAAGGCAACTACATCATATCTGCATAGGAAAATGATCACCTGCCACCAGGTGGAGAAGGGAGGTTATGGGGACAAAAATGAGGGCTCAGTTTGGCACGATCACTCTGGTTCAGCATGCAGCACAGTCAGGAGTGCATGGACAAGCAGTGTGAGGTGACCTCAGCAGCGCAGACAAGGGGCAGAGGCAGCTGGCCTAGGGGTGGCGGCCGTGGGGCTGCAGAGAGGGTGCTGGATTTGACAGGTCTCTAGATGGTAAAATGAAGAACCCTTGGAGGTAGAAGGGGTGTGGACAGAGAGCGAGAGGGAGGCACCTCGGATGACTTGCAAATGTCTGGCTTATAGAAACAGATGGAACACTGGAAGCTGAGCAGAGTGGGAAGGGGGCATGATGAGCTCCATTTTGCAAATGGCTGAGCTTAAGGTGGCCTGGGACATCCAAATGCGGATGTCAAGTAAACAGTAGGTGAGTGAGTTTGGAGGGAGTCTGACCTGGACATACAAGTTTAGGAGACACACTGTGAAACTGTTAAAATGAATGAGGCAAATCCATACATATTGACATGAAAGGCTGTCTATGATCTACTGGTAAATATACATGGAATAAAGCAAGTTATAGAACAGTATGTATAATATAATCACTTTTTTCAAAAGGCATATAGAAAAATACTGAATCATCTGGTGTGCAAGAGAAATACACACCCTTGCACATAGAACACACACACACACCGGTCTGGAAAGAATATACCAGATTATTAACCTGCCCCTGTGACTGATGCTTTGGGTTGGGAGAGATGAGTGAAGAACTCTCACCTTTTGTCTATAAACTTTTGCACCACTGGATCCTATTTCTTATAATGAGCACTTCATTACTCCAGCTGCCCCTTCACTCCATCCCTCTGGCCTTCCCCAACTCCTACCTCATCCTGAATCCCCACGCAGAGGCAGATGTTGGCAACAGGATGAGAGAAAAGGAAAGGTGATGCCAATTTTGCATGCTATTTGATAGTAAAAAAGGAGGAACTTGGTGTTGACTTTTAAGCTGTATCAAAATAGCTGTATCAGAATGTTCACTGGTAACTGCCATTCCTTCTCCTTGAGTGTTAACAATCGAGTTGGCTAAACAGTAAGTCAACTAAGATGACTGCAGAGCACAGAAGTTTGGGGGCACTGGCTTGCACTCTCCTACTGGTCGCCCATTGGGATCCGAGGATTCAAAAGTCTCATGTAATACCCACCAATCCCCCACACTGATCAAGGAACGTTGAAGACCCCCTGCCCATTGTGGAGAACAGTGTACCAAGAACTTGGCCTAATGAACATACACAAACCAAAGGAAATTAACATAAATGGAAAGATGAGGTGGCTTTACTTAGCAACCTGCATAGATTATCCTGGATTTTTCTTGTTACCGAGCATAATCACCCAGCACAGTCCCAGTCCACACTCGGCACATATTTGCAGAACTGTTTCTGAAATGTCCAGACCTCTCTTTGACCAAGCATATCATTACCCCAGAACAAAAATGGTGGACCGCGAAGGCAGAAGCATCCTGATGTCAGAAAGCCAGACAAGGAACAGGATATCTATCCCCATGTGAATTTCCCTCTTCCATTCCCAGGCCTATGACTCACAGCCTGAGGGAATCAAATGAGATCTTAAAGTTGCCTTGCCTTGAAGCTAAACAATGTATCACCTAGCCACCCTTACTTAGTAAGTGTATCTTCGACAGAGAGATATATGATAACTAATCTATGCAAATCATACCAGGAGGGCAGACGCAGGTGAAATTGCTCCCATCTTGCTTCTCATTTGCGTCCACACAACCGGCGTTGTTCTGACAGGGCTTCCGCTGGCAGGCATCAAATTCTTCACAGAAAGTACCCACGTACGGATCCTCACAGGTACAGGAAAACGTTGCCTAAAACACAAACATACCATCTGTGTTACACGAGTCCTCTAAAACGTATGCTCAGGCTGTGAATCTCAAAGTTCCAAAGCACCGCTCCCAATACCGAATGCTTGAATCGCATCATTTATATATATATATTTTTAAAGATTTTATTTATTTATTTGACAGAGAGAGAGGCAGCGAGAGAGCGAGCACAAGCAGAGGGAGCGGGAGAGGGAGAAGCAGGCTTCCTGCGGAGCAGGGAGCCCGATGCGGGACTCGATCCCAGGACTCCAGGATCATGACCTGAGCCGAAGGCAGATGCTTAACGACTGAGCCACTCAGGCGCCCCCGCATCATTTATATTTTGATCTGATTAAAATCATAGCTTTGAGAGAAATGGTGTGTATTTCTTTACACTTTAATTTTCAAACATTTATTTTTCTCATTCTTTCTTTATTGATATTTATCCCAGCCATCTTTCCTTTTTGCTAAAATAAAAAGTGGAAAAGACAACTATGTTTTAAACAAAAATGAAGTTTTGCTGGCCTGACATGGAAATGACCATTTTGCTAGAGCAGATATATTGTGCTCCAGCCATTAAATGAGATGTCACACCAACTAAGATCCTGCAGCATAGATAGCACTCGTCCAATGTCCTGCTCTGACCACCTTCCAGAGCATCAAGAGAATTTACTGAATCCCCCTGTAAATTAGCCTCAATGTCAATGTACAGCCTGTTTGGCTTATGGTATTCCTGTAATCTTAGTGAAAGACCATAACTCAGTCCCAGAGCACTGCATTTGGTTGGAAGCTTCTTCATTCCTGAGATAGTTGTAAAATCCAAATAAAACTGAGCCTTCCTGCTCTCTTCACTCCTTAATGCCTGAGGGTGGTGACCATCTAAAAACAAACAACAACAACAACAAAAAAAACACTAATCTGGTCCCAAACCCTGTGTGAAGCAATGTAGGTTGTTACTGCAGATCTTCGTGAAGAGAGGTATGGAGGAAGCAAAGGAGAATGGCATAAACAAAACTGAATACTTAAAACACTTGATTATCTTGGGTTTTCCAGATAAAACAAAATCCCCCAAAATTGTATATCAATTGCAAATAATGATAACATCCCCCCCCCCCTTCTCCAGCCCTCACGGTTGCTTTGCTGGCTCTTCTAGAGTAAGCTTGACTTCAAAGGGAGATCTGTAGAATTTATCACTAAGGAGAAAGCTGGAATGAGGACTGAATTTTATCAAATGCCATTTTAGCTTCTTGAAAAACAATAATCTATTTCTTTTTGTCTTTGACCTAGCAATATGTGAATGTTTAGATGCCCTAGTCCTCACTCAACCTTGCATTCTTGGAAGGAACACCCACAGAGGCATTATGCAAAATTGTATTATGGACGCATTCTATTTATAGCCATACTTCTAGTGCTTTCCATCTAACTTGCCCCATCCCCACCAGACCCCTTTTCTAAGAAAAACTGTCCCTTGCACAATTAGATCATAGCTTATACTCTAACAGGATGCCCCCAAAGTGACTAAACCAGGAGTGGATGGACCCATGACCTCAGCAACCAAGCAAGAGACCCGTCAAATGTGGGGCGCCTGGGTGGCTCAGTTGGTTAAGCGACTGCCTTCGGCTCAGGTCATGATCCTGGATTCCCGGGATCGAGTCCCGCATCCATCGGGCTCCCTGCTCGGCAGGGAGCCTGCTTCTCCCTCTGACCCTCCCCCCTCTCATGTGCTCTCTGTCTCTTTCATTCTCTCTGTCTCAAATAAATAAATAAAA